TTTTTGCGTCAATCAATACACAAGTAAATACGCATTACACATAGCAAGCTCACTCGTTGACAGTTCCAGTGTTTGTCACAATCTAGAAGGTCAAGACGTCGCCGAAAAGACGCAAAAGGCATTGAGTTTGGTCTACCGGCGTCCCTCTGCCATTGATGAAAAGTCCAAGTCCGTGTCTTCAAGAAATGTACCCTTTCCTCCAGACTCTAGGCCGCATGCATGTAATAAGCGAATACGCATGTGCTACGTGATTGACAGCCCTCTCTACATTCAGTACTGTAGTAGGCTCTACCCTGCAGGGTGCTAGACAGCTCGAAACCAATGCGGTGTGTAATGTGGGGAAGTTTTGCGCACACATGCAAACTATGCTGAGCAGGCTTGGGGCTAGGGTGGAAAAGGCTTGGAGGATCAGCTGCAGTAGTGCTGGCTGCTTCTTCTGAGCACTGATGCCGGAACGGAAACAGTTAGCAGGCCCGACAACAGCAACAGCGATGATGGTAAGACTGGTGGGAACAGTATGAAACTCAGCGTGGCAGCACCACTGACCGAAGTAGCAAGATACGAAGAGCCAGGACGCTAAAAGTCGCTATCACATGTCAGTCATACGAGCAAGCACAAGAATACTCGCAAGATTAGAGCAGGCCCATCATGAATGGTTGCTTCTTTTCATCTCTTGTCTGCATATGCCGCAACGGGACGGCGAAGGAGCCAGTAGCAGGCGATCACGGCTCGTTGTGGTTTTCACGGGTTCAGGGCCCAGCAAACTTGTTCTTCTACACATGTTATGATGACACATCGACACCCACACGCCCATGTGCATGTATGCATGAATGTATGCATTTATGCATGGATGAATGTATTCTACCAGTATTTTCTTGACCTGACAAGTCTGAAGAGACTTTACCGTCATGCTCAACAACCCAACTGTTCAAGCAGGCTCGTAAAGTGTCAGGTCACAAGTAAGAGTGGTCGTTTCCACGTGTTCATATCTCCCACATTCATTCTTCTTCTGATCTGCCCAGGTCGGAACCTAAGACATCCCATGCTTCAAGACTTCTGGTGCTGCCGCGGCACCCACTGCATTGCAGCCTCACAGGAGCCAAGGGCCAAAGCATAGGCCGTCTGGTCGGACCTTGTGCCAGCATTTCAAGCCTCTGAGGTAAGGTAAGAACACATGTAGAATGCTGCAGTAGGTCGTCTTGTAAGCATTCATGAAAACGCACAAGACAGCTCGACGAGCTCGGCGGCCAGGTCGCCAACTGAGAAACCACTCGTGGCTTTACTGAGACCTGCACGTCTGCGACTGCGCGCCATCTGCAGGCGGAACGGTTCGGTCAACACATGCCCAAGCTGACGGGATCAGCTGAGTCTTGTGCTTACTACGTTACTACATCTCTCCCTCTTCGCATCCATCTGCCTGTTCATGTGGATGTGTGACAGACAGATACAGAAATACATATAGACAAACGTAGATAGGTATAAACAGATATAGATACATAGACGGGTGGATAGGCAGATTAGATAGACAGACAGACAGACGGATAGATAGTCACATCACACTTGCCTTCCCCGCATGATCATGATCTTGCTGCTACCAATACTAAACCGAAACTTCCCACCTCCTCCGAGCTCCTCGAGGATGCTCAGGGCCAAGGCCCAGCAGGCTGCCTCCTGATCATGGTGGAGCCCTTGGAGCTTTCGTTGACTTCTGACCGAGAAAGGCCGCGATTTAGGCTTCGCTGACTGCTCAAACCCTGATTGTAAGCGCAGCGGAACGGAATGCTATGAAGAAAAGTTACCAAACAAGACAGCGAACTCTGGTGTGTGAAAGACAGAATCTTGTTGAGACTCTCAACAGCAAAAATAACCTTGACATACCTTGCGTACCGAACAGCTAATTCCGAGAGTGTCTGCTGCTAGTGCATTTTGGCCGCAAAGAGCCTCCTCCAGATTCGGCTCTGAGATTCAGGCTGGGAGAACCCTCAAAAACGAAAGCTTCCCAGACCGTGTCCCATCTTCAATGTCTTAAGCTCAACACATACACGGTAATTACATAGCAAGTCCAGGCACGATGCCAATGGTGCCTGGCCTTGCATGCATCCAACATGCCAATGTAGGCTGCTTCGTCGGACCTGGGCAGCCGCAGCAGCATGCTTCGCGTAGCTTCGCGTCGTCGACACTCTGAGGCAGCCGTTCTGAAACTTCAGGTGTATCGCCCAGTTGCAAGCAGTGAGCACTTCAAGCAAACTTACAGGCAGGCTGACCCCACAAGCTGATAAACTCAGGTGACTTTGGGAGCAAGCCTAACATCCGAAACAAAAGCTCAAAACTCCGAATGTGTAGCATGGCCAAGAACTGTCGACAGCTGGGCTTTGCTTCTAGGCTCCGTGCTGCACAGTGAGCTGCCGCATCTCCTCCAACCTCAATCAGAGGCCGGTAGGAACATGCCTGTGGAATCCTGGGGTAAGCTTTAGGCAAGGGTTCTCCTCTGGAAAAGCGTCTGGGAACAAACCCCACCTCGATGCGTCCTAATACCGTCATACCCAGTACATACCGACATACCAAACAGTGCTCATGCAACCCTATGTGAGGAATTTGCGACGGGAGAGAAGTGCCTTCATAGGAATCTGCAAAGGCAGATAGAAACAGTTCTTGTTCAGCTCATCTCTCTTCAAGGTCCTACCTAGGTTCTCCAAAATCGGCAGTCGTCCATCGAATCCAATTTCACCCGACTCGGCGAGCTTCTCTACTTTCGAAGCACGATGCAACAAGTTACCCTAAACCCACAAAAGCCGGGAACCTCGTCAGCTGCTTTCTGAGGTCCCGTCAAGGCCGAGGCAGTGCCTGGCTGCAAGGAAGCGACCTGAGAAAGCATAAACTGCTAGTACTCTAATCCGACAGTATAATCACATGTTTCTACTCTCGTAGCTTATTCAATACTATTGTCACTATACGAACAAAAAACATGTAGTTCATATACAAATATGCAGAGATCAACTGATGTGGTGCGAGCGCGCGAAGCGGGAAACTCTGAGCAAACTCGCCTGGCAGGTCCTGTGGATTCTCTACGGGCGCCGTGATGCTCTAAGCATGCCGCCCGAGTTGCACAGATGATAAATAAACGAACAAATACATATATATATATATAGATACGTGTACATGTATGTATGTATATATATGGTATATTGCATAGTTTCGTTCAGAAGCTATGCCCGCAGCATGATGGAAGAACTGTTTTGAAAGGATCGCACCGGACAACCAAGGCCGCCGGGCGCAGGTGCTCACGGCGAGGCTGTGGGAAACGACGTCCAGCCTGTAGCGGAGTTGGCTATGTGGGTTCCTTTTAGGGTTTAGGGCTTAGGGTTTAGGGCTTAGGGTTTAGGGCTTAGAGTTTAGTGGGTTGTTTTGGGCTGGGTCTGGGCTGCTCTCGCAGTGTCTGGTGGGGCAGTCTTGATCTCGACTCGGATGTTGCATTTCATCCTCCAACCCACAGCTTCGGCTCAGGAGAAGTGTAAGGGCGTTTTGGGAGGTCTGGAATGTGCCAGATCTCTTCGTCATGTAAGCCTTACAAGCACGCACAAGCCTGCACACCTGTCCTGACCTTGACCATCTGAGTGCAAGGCGGCACAGACTGATTCCTGGCCCGCTGCAGCAGCATCAGGGCGGCCTTTAGGGATTACGGAGTACGTCGTGACTATGCCGTCCTTCAGGATTCACAATGACAAAATGACTTCGTCGACGCAGTTTGTGGTTCTCGCCGGAGTTTCCGCAACGATACCTTCTACTCCGCGGATCTGCCCAGATGTATCTCACATGGCATATCTCACGGTGTATTCCCCGAGTAGTAGGTTGTGTTTCGTGAGGCTTCTCGGCCGATAACTGAAATCTTCATGCTACTTTCCTCTCCCGCCAGATCGTGCAGTTTAAAGTCAAGCGTTCCGCAGATTCTACTAAATCAAAATATAACTTGATATGGTATTTTACATTGTACTATATGATATTGCAGTATATTACATTGCAGTCTCTATCTGGAGCTGACTCGAAGCCGTCAACCCCAAACCCTAAATCCTTCAGACATCACGTGCCTGCCAGGAAGCGCCCCGGTGGCATGAGCCTATGGCCTGAGTGCAGCTTGAGTGCATCATAAGGGGGGTTCCGAAAATAGGGGACCCTCATATAGTACCCGAAATAGTAGGATCCTTATTATAAGGACCCCAAAAGAAGGTACCCCTAATTTCGGAAAGTCCCATCACCCTACCAAAATCGGTTCACGGCAACACGCCTCGTTCCTCCCAATAAATTTTGAAGCTCTCCGGAATGTCTCTAAAGCCAGTCTACAGCACTTTGCAATTGCAGTATACTTGATTATGTTTCGATTTCTGATTTTTACATCATTATGTTGTAACATATTTCATATTACAATATTATGTCGTGTTATTCTATATTACGTGTTATTACAGGCCCTGCTACTCTTGCTGTGGCAAGGAGCCAGCCCCAAGCAAGCTCAGGAGTGCTAGAATTTGGATTGCGGCAGCTTGATTAAAAGCTGGTTCGCTAATCAGGACCACGAATTTCACAACTGCAGTCGCAACGTTTCCGGAGCAAGTGACAGCGGGATGTCCGTTCAACTATGTTCTTAACTAGACCTCTTCCTCTCAGCTCGGGGATGCGATTTTGAGCCCATACTTCTGGGATGCCACACTGCATTGAAGATCACCCGATTTGGCTGAAGAGAATGCCGGGGCAGGTCCTGCCAGTGCGGCAAGTAAGCTCACAAAACGCACCCACACGAAAACAAAGACTTCGACCGTCTGCCACGTGAGAGAGCTACACATACACTACGCCATTGCCAGCTTTTGGCAGCTCTTGCGTTTCACTGCCACATCCAAAATCAGTACCACGAAGTACATGTCAAACTCTTCTAGCAAACAGGAAGGAAGTGGAGTTCGATTGATGCATGCCCGTTCATGACAAGACTACCCGGAAGATGGGAGTTGCTCCTCCAGCAGCCCCCACGCCTGCGCGTGAAGTGACTGCCGAGACAAGGCCTTGAGGGCAAGAGCCAGATGAAGGATTCGAAGAGCTCATTGTTGTAACTAGACTCAGTTTTTGTTTCTCTTCATTGTTGAAGTCCCTACCTACTGTATATTAGTCATGGCTAGAAGCCGATCCTAAAGCCTCGATTCTTTCTGTGGCGGGGTCCAAGGGCAGGTTGAGGTTAAAGGGTTTCGAAGGGCTCCTGGGACATTGACTTCTTTCAATGTGCGGCGTTTCCTCGGAGCAGTCAACTTCGAAAGATTAGGGCGGCTAAAGAATTAGCTGACGGACTCGGCTGACTCTGGGACCATTTGCTGTCTCGGTGGTGTGGATTTTCCCCGTGCATTGCTGTGCAAGCTCTCCTCTGTATATTCTGACCCGGGTGCAGCGTAGACTCTACGGAATGATGAGCATGTATTCAGGCTTCTAGATTGGGCTCCTAACTGTAGGATCTTCTCAAATGACGAGTTTCGGGCAGATGATAGGTTCAGGACCCGACCCTGAAAGAATCTCCCCTAAACCCTAAACCCTAATAATAAATAATCTCACCGCCGCACAGGGGCTGTCATGGCCGAGCTGAAGGACACCACGTCCGGCTGCAGAGCAGCGGCCGACCTCGGAGAGTGAAAAAAAGGGTCTTGGCGATTGAAAATACCCACCCTGAACTACTATATAACCATATGCCCTACTATATGGGAGTTTCCGACAATAAGGGGTTTACCCTTTTTGGGGGTCCTTATCATAGGGATCCTACTGTTGAAGGTACTATATTAGGGTCCCCTATTTTCGGAAACCCCCATATAACCCTATAGTACCCTTAAAAGGAACCCTGAACCTTGCCCGAAGACCTAAGGGCCCTACGAGGTCGAAGGTTACAAGGAGGGGCCTTAGGAGACTATAAGGTCTGTGGATTTCAATGCTTAATGTTTTTGTTTCAACTTCTCACGTCGTCCGCAAGACGGACCTGTGTCTCAAGCCCTTTTTCGCACTTCCTGATTAAGTTTATCTAGTCTGGGATGGAATGTCTCACTGTCGTCTCCAAGAGAGGAGACTTAATTTCCCGGGTCCTGAACTCTTTTGGCCCGGAATTGCTCTGAGCCCCCGAAAACACCGCTCGAGCTGCCCCAAACTCGCCGAACTCATGGAAGAAAACTCGGTAGGAAGCTGTTTCACGAGCTCTTTCATGGCTGTTTCTCGGCCCCGTAGGCCCCATGCTACGAGTAGGCTGCCCCGCATCTCGCCAAGGAGGGTCAAGGATTGCTGCCACTGCTGCGTCCTGGCCTGACAAATGGCGGCTGATTGGTACGAGTAAGAGTGTTTAAGTTTAGGGCTTAATCTTCACTGCGAGGGTTGGTGATGTTGGGATATGAGTTCGAGTGACTGCACGAGTTTGCATGTTCCAGAGAAGTCGGCATCATGCTCCCCCTCAAAATTGAAGAGGTTCGCCGAGATGCGGACGCAAGCATCTATGGCCGTGTTGAAGGTGACTTGGTGCTGCCTCCAGCCATGCAGGACAGTTCAACAAAGCCCTGCCTCCAAAAATGCCACGATCCTCATCGTGTTGATGCAAGGTGCCCACCCCGCAGCCCTGACGAGAATGGTATCGGGGCACCTCAGCTTCATCCGGCGCAGGCCATACCTGGACAAGCAACACCGGGCTAGGCATCGAGACATCGCAAAAGAAAGGACGGGACCCAAGGGAAGGACCAAACATGCTCAGGGCGAGTTCCTTCACTGAAAGGGGGCGCATGGTTCATGAGGCCTCCCAGTTCTGACAATCTCAGGTCCCCGCAGCAGCTGTAATGCCATCTGGGTCTGATGGGCCTCTCAAGCCCACATCTACATCGACGTGTACACCCTGTGTATACCTTTTGCCTGCTACCTTTGTCCAGGCACGTGTCGCAGTAGGGAAGCGAGGGACGCTGTGTTGTGCCAAAATCACAGGATTGATTGTTGCTAAGCATGGGCAAGAGCTTCACGAGGAAAGCATGCGACAACATTAACACCGTGACCCTCCCAGACATTACTCGTACTGCCGGGATTCGGCCCAGCTTGCCATTAAACATGTGACCGCCGGGCCTTGGCACAAACTGACATGGCTGCGTTGTAGGTGTCCGTTCTCGGGCGTAAACCTACCGAGAGAGAAGTTCCGCAGCGAACTGCGTTCGAGGTGTTAACTGTTGACGCATGCAGTTCTGACGCAACCATGCATGCTTCTCAAAGCGGCTGCTTCTCTGAACCACACCCGCCTGCCTGTGCCACAGATCTGTTTGCTACTGGAAGAATTTCAAAGGGGGTCAGCAATAGACGTCCAGGGCACACTTTCTGCTGGAAACCATAACGAAAATATGGACGTCCAGTTTGCAGACCGCCTTGCTGTCGAAGCTCATCCAGAAGATGCAACACCAAAGACCATGGCCTGAGTATCAAGCACATCATAGCTGCTGTTGTTCATGCAAATCAGCTACCTGCACTCTTGCGGCACTTTTCTGACAATTCCGGCAAGGGCAGGGGGTTTACCATACTCTGCCCGAGCTATAGGAGCTCCTATCGGCTAAAGGTGTGACGGGCAAGGCTGGGACAGGACATGCTCGGCCAGAGTCTACAGCCCTGTTACTTCCGCTTCAGGCATTCGTTCGCAAGGAGATGGACCCTTCAGCACCCAAATCTTGGAAGTCCCCAGAAGCCGCCCAACACTCTTGGTGAACCAACTGAGACGGTGTGCATAGGGGCTGTGCTGCAGGTCCCACGTCGTCAGCTGAGTCGCAGTCCCCATCTCGCAGGCAGTGATGGCCTCATGCTTCGCACTGAATTTTTCTTTTTGCGGGGCCATACAGGGCTCCAGATGCCCGGCAGCCGGATGCTGTCCATAGCACATTGAAATTGTAAAAGGGTCCATTGCTGCCTGCTTCTACGAGGCCTGGCATATCCTCCCCTTCTTCTTCGTCCTTCGGGTGTAAGGCGCCTCTCAAGCCCCCCGGCCCCTGAGGGCCCCCCCATGGGCTTTCGGGGGAAGGCAACAGTCAGCGCGGGTGAGGTCCCATCTCCCCTTCCTCCCCCTCTCTTCCCGTTCTGGGGCCGTGGCGATATTGTATGAGATCGTGGTGGGAAATAGGATGCTGTGGAACATCTCCTTTGGGATTGGCTTCTGCTTGCCACGAGCACTCTCTCAAGCATGAACCTGTTGCCATGCACTGCAGCCGAGTTAAGTTTGGACCACATTGCCGATGGCCAGGCGCTTCGCGAGCTCACAGAGCCTCTGCTAAAATACCTTCTAATGCCCCGGCTCGCGCTGGAGCCCTCTGGGCTGGTCTGAGCTGCAGGCCGTCAACAGATTCAGGCAGCGCTGCCATTGCTGGCCCTGGCCAGTCAAAAGCTCATTGCAGTCACTCAAGAGGGGATGGCATCGGAACCGCGTATGCCTCTCTAGATAGACACCAGGTGAGGCATGTGAGGCCGTAGGCTTCGGGCTCTGTCTGGGGTGCGGCCGAAGCATTGTGGCATAGCATCGGCGGCAGCTCTCATATTTTTATTCGCAGCCGCTCTGACTTAGTCGCTGACTGAAAGAGAGCCGAATTGGAAGAGACAGTGCACTTGCCCTGCCCAGCGCCTCGCCCGCATTTGCAGGCGTTGTGTTCTGTCATCCTTCTCCAAGGTTTCACCCGAATTGAGAGCCCAAACTTCTGGTGGTCCTAGACATGCCGTTTATTTGAAAGTGTGCTGAAACCGTGTTCAGCATTCGATCTGTCCAGCGCTCGAGCACTTTAAAGCTCGAAGGATTCAACCATCGGCGAATTGCCAACCGGCAGACTTCAGAAACGTGTGATGGTTGATAAAACAACATGCAGTCCAGAAGCTAGAATATAAAGGTCTTATAAGGGCCAAATCCTTGGTGAACAGCCAGACAACCGTCATTGAACATCCGCAAACTACCATACAGCACACTGCACGAAGCACGCTCCGTTGCAATGCTCCTAAAGACAGTAATGGATCTTCCCCTGAGCGCTCAGCATTATTGTGCAAGCCGGCTCGTGCCTCAAGACCAGACATGCCTGCCTACCCGTCATGGTGGCCTCGATGCGTGCCATCTGACTCGGTAAAGCGAGAGCTGTGTCCGTGCCGTCTGCGAGACTGCAAGGGGTGTGAAGTTGCTGTCCAGGCTCGCTCTTGGGAACACCTGTCCCCCTGGTTGTCAAAGAAGCCTCTGCCTCTACATTTGATGTCTTGAACGTGCCCTCCTTGCCCAGGATGTTGTGGCCACGAAATTCATACGAGTGACGACACGCCCCGGGTGGCAACGGTGGCGGCCTTTCTGCCGGCACCAAGTTCGGGGACCGAAAACGTCTCGGTGGCCCTCTGTTGATCAACGGCTCCCAGCAGAGTGGAGTTGGTTTGTAAAAGCCAGGAATAAATTGGCCGTGGATGTTGTCGCTGACATTTCGCATTGCGAAGCTGGCGCGGACCCGGATCACTGCATAGCCCCGCGACTTGCCGTTCGGAAACAGAGCCATCTCGATCTGGAAGTTTGTCAAACCCTTTGACTCGAGGAAGTTGCGCAAGGTTTCCGCATCGCACTTCGCAGGGATGTTGCGCAAAAAGAACGCATCGGTGGCATCCTGGTCCCGAGCCTGTGCCCTCAGGTCCGGGCACGAAGTCATATGGCTTAGCCGAAGAGCTGAGCAACTTACTCGAGAGGTGTCGTACATGCACACCCTCTAAAGGACGAATCCAAGTTTAGAGCTCATCAGAGTAGAGCCTAGAGCAATGATATCAAGTGACTGGTCACAGAACCCTCGATGAACCAACGGCGCAGCTTCGAGCCGACCACAGCAGACCAGTAAGAGAAGCCTAGGGCCTAGGGAGATTGCTGACACAGGGAAGGATCGTGGTGGCGGTGCTGGATGGCAGATTGGGACTTGCTCACGGGGCTCGCTCTTTGCATAGCAGCACGTCTGCATTCTGAAAATGTGACAAAGCAGCTGTCTGTTATTGTGCAAAGTGGCCGTCGCTCGCATGGAAGGGTATGGGAATGTGGATGAATGTGGCAATGTGGGGTGGCTAAGGCTTCATTAAACCATCGCGGCTGCATGCCCAACATGAAAATTGGACGTGCGGAGCTCCCTGCCTTGCTGCAGGCGTCCATGGCTGCATTGTATGTCACCACATCTGGCCTACAAGTTGTGCAAAGGAGACATTCAGTCTTGGGGAAGCAAACATAGCAACCAAAATCCCTTCCTTGTCCGCTGGAAACCGCATGGAAGGGGCTGGGCAAATACACGGGATGAAGAATCAAGGGCTCGTTCGAAACAGCAAGAGGCGGGTAAGCTGGGAAATTGTCGCCATGCCATCGTGCACATAATGATCATCGCCCAGTACTAAAACACGCCCTCTATTTTGCGCATTCGACCTTGGCCGAGAATATCCAATATTAGGGGGATACTCGCATTGGGTGATTTGTGCCACAAGATGTGTGGAGCTGGGGTCTAACACCTAATCAAGCACTGAACTCGAAACTCCAATGAGATAACTATTCAAGTGGAGACCGTCCAGTACACACACAGCCAGTGCCAAGCAGCCTTTCTGCCTCCTACGCCCTTAAAGTGATTTGTTCATTGCAGGTTTGCAAGTATAAGCGGTCCTGGTTTCATCGGACTGTCTGTCTACTACGTAGCTGCTACTTACTCCACCTCCTGCTATGAGTCTGCACCTAGTGCCACCAACATTTCCTAAGTACTCTTCCTCCTTCTCCTTCTCCTCTTCCTAGACTAGGCTTACTTACTAGTGACAACAGTAGTAGTAGTAGT